ACGCTGATCGCTTTGCATACTCGTTATGACGTAAATACAACCCACGTGACCGGCCGCGTCTAATAACGCGTCGATTATGCACACGAGTCGAGCCACCCGAAATAGCTCATTGCACCTGATTTTGGTCAATGTTAATTTCGATGAGTAATAGTTGCTGCTGCTAATTTTAGCAACAGGTATTAGTGACGCCATAAATAAAATGCATAAAATTGCGTATGAAAATTAAGGTGTTTGAAATTTTTTAAAAGTGACCAATATTTGCTGAAAACCAGCTTGTGATCACACCTAGTCACCTCTGTCGAGGTTCTTGGAGAAAATTATTTAACAATTCATACTGCAAATGTAGATTCATCAAAATTCAGTTGTAGTTAAAATTTCGTTACAATTAAACCTGTTTAATTAAATCAATTACAAACGAAAATGGAATGCAAAGAGATGAAAATTTCTCGAAACTAACTTAAAAAATGTTGAAAAATACGAGATGAAAATATTCATTAAATTGTTTAGAGGTGAATGATATTCTTCATCTTTACAAAAATTTGTCGTCTCCTAAAAAATACCATTTCCTCGTTACAATAGACGTATTGCTTCACGATGAACTAAACAATGGGAAAAAAGAAACACCGAGGAAGGATTTAATTATCTACCCGCGCATAATTCCTCGTTCATCATAAAGAACCTCCGTGGCAGGTTACACCCATGCGTCGTTTCTTCTGCTTGTAGGCGTTTCCAAGCTGGCTAATCGGTACATCACGCTAATAGTGTCGCTATTTCGGCACTCGTTAACGCGACACGGCTCTAATTGAGCCTTACAGAATCTAAAGTTAAACGGCTGGTCGTTATACGAAGCGCAAGGCCATACATCTTCGAGCTCGTTTCGACGACGACACCCTTTGTAGAACTGAAAAATTATTCCACCAATTAATTCATCGATCGGTATATCTGTGTAAACACTATTACCACAACTTCACCATTCATCCTTTCCCTATCTTGAAAGTAATTTCACTCACTGATGACAGAATTAAGTAGGAAAGAACCTACAGACACACGGTCTTTTATTCTCAGAGGTTTGAACGGTCTTTAAATATTGTAAAATACGCGGTTTCTACGAGGTGCTGTCAGGAGAAGTTTATCGTGCGGGGAAAACCGCCTCGACAAAAGTTACTCGAGTGACAGCGAAGCGGAAATGAGTATCAACCGGATCTGCAGCCGGATACGGAGCTTGACAAAGTAGCACTTAACGGGTTGTAAAGCAAGATGAAAGTGCTGTAAATAAAACTAGAGAAGCTGTTCGTTCTGTCAAAGTGTAATTGAGACAAGGTTTACGGGAAAAATCGAACAGAGAAATTCTACGAACTTAAATTCTCCATTTTCCTCCTACTTTACTTCTACACAAATATTAACAAAATAACGATTCTATATTCATCCATGAATACTCTTTCACCGTTAAATTCCGATAATTGTTTCATCGTGAAAATTAGTTTGAAAGCTGCGAAAGGGGGACCTTCTCGCAGAAATATCTCTCTGTGAAGAAATGATAAACTCAGAAGGCTCTACTGGGTTGAAAATTCACGAGGCATTCATTCCTGCCACCGTTTCTCCCCATTTCACGCGCGTCTACACGCGGGACGCGGATTTTCCCGAGCAAAATCTCTAGGCGTGCAGGACGAGTGGAAGACACGCGCAAGGAGATTCAGACACGAATACTCAGACGGCCCTAAATCTTGTCTCGCGAGGCGAGCCGGTGGGATCCTCTTTATTTTGCTCTGCGGAGGCGTCGTTGCGCGCGAACCGCGAGCTTTCGTTACGCACGTGTGAACGGAAGCGTCGACTCTTAAACGCCTCGGTTCTTAAGAGCGCCGCGACGCTCCCCAGCAAAAGCACGAGTTTTAATTGCCTGCTGTTTCGCCGGCCAAACGGAACGATACAGTACAGTACCGTTTAGAATTTTTCGAACATGCTGGAGAGATGAGGAGAGAGAGCAGTATTTGTTAGTTTGGCGAGGATCTTTCGCCGATCACTTGTTGTGATCCGTTTTGAAACCGAGGGCAATTACTCTACTTTCGTTTTTAAAACTTTCTCGCTAAACTGATATTCTAATATGTAACGATAGTTCGAATAGGAAAATTGATAAGTTTCGAACAAGGACGTCCTTGGGTAGGTTGATAGCGCGGAGTCTTCGGTGATCGTCGAAGTG